GCGGATTATGAAAATGTTCATAATATCAAATCGAAATAAAAATAAATATTTCAATATATAATATATTATATATTTATTAAATTATATATTTGTATCAAAAATACATATATATTATATAAATATATTATATATTAACGAAAACCCGCTATTTTCCAACAACGAAATAAAATCCATAACAAAAAAACACCAAAAACAAAATATTCTTTCACAAAGAAGAAAACAATAAAAAAACAATAAAAAAACAAACAAACCGAGCAAATGCCTAACAAAAACCAATTTCAAAATATTTCGAGAAAATAAATCATTTATATAAATATATATTAAAAAAAAAAAACGATTTTTTATATTAAATATAAATATATTTAGTTTAATAATTAATAATAATAAAAAATGTATTTGTTATAACATCTAAATATAAATTTTCATTCTTTAAAATATAATTTTAAATTTTAAAAATTCAGAATATAAAATAATTAAAAAGAAAAAAATATAAATACTAAAAATAATTCAATATATTTATATTATTTATCAGAATCCTATTCGTGTTTGCCACCTAACATCTATAAACAGTGTTCAAGCTTTGTATAATAATCTATGTCTATCATTACCTTTAAAATGTATTATAAGCATTTCTACCAGTTAAAATTGTTTTCTACACTTAGACTCTTTAGCCTGTCTTGCAGGCACGATCAAGTCAGCCACAAGGCTGAAATGGTCATTTCTACCAGTTAAAATTGTTTTCTACACTTAGACTCTTTAGCCTGTCTTGCAGGCACGATCAAGTCAGCCACAAGGCTGAAATGGTCAGAGGGGTATTCCCAGCAAGGCAGCAAGACTGTGCCCAGCTCCTCGATGCCAGGCACATACAACAGTCTGGAGGGCCTGAGGCTCGGCCCGGCGAAGATGTAGTCGATGGTGTGCCTGATAAAGGGGGCCAATTGAAACCACCCCAGAAGGCTGAGGGGCAACACCAACAGAAACAAAAAAAGCTGAGAACGCGCACTTTCATGGGCCAGCGCGCTGCGAGATGTGGTCGCCCCGAACTTTGGCGGTTGTGAAGGGAAGGTCTAGCGGATAGGCCGATCTGAAAGCGATGGCTGGGTAGGACAGCACGGCAGGAACGGCTTTGGCAGTGACGCCCAGCTCGTCATAAGGGGCAGTATTGAAATCGCCCATGATGAGGGCATGTGGAACATGGGGCGCTGCATCGACATGCGCTTGAAAGCAACGCAAAAGAGCTTCGACTTGCAAGGCACGGATGTCTTCGTTTTCTTGCACAGCTTTTGCCTTGAGATGTGTGGCGCCAATACAGAAGTACTCATCAGTGCTTTGGCACTGCAGCGTAGCGACAAGCACACAGCACTGCAAATCCTCTCGTTCAGGAATGTCGACAACTCTATCCACGCTCATGAGAGCAAAGCGATCTTTCCAAAACAAAGCCACGCCATCTGGATGGTATCCGTACGGAGCGCACGGGGACCACTTCTTCCGACAAAACTCGCCTCGGTAGCCGCAAGCAGCCAGCGCGGGCCTGAAGAAGTCCTCGAAATGATCGCACTCCTCCAATGCTACCACATCTGGCTCAACTCGAAGCACTTCCTCGAGCACCAAATGCTTCCTCACCGAGTAGTCCAGCACGTCATGCGGCACCTTCGTGAATCCCCCGCCGTCGCTCACCTGTGTTGCCGCCTCGGGAAAGGGCGGAATATCCGTGCTGCGAGACGACAAGCCCTCCGCCAGCACGTTGAACTGCATTGCACGCAGTATCTGGGCCTCCTCACACCCGGCAACATCCCCCCACTCCCGCGGGAGCAGCGGTTTTCCGACACGAGCGCGGGCGGCCGCTATTGCCTCAAGCACAGTTTGCTTCGACATTGCCTTGAGAGCCATTACCACAGTGGCTGCATGTCTGTGTCTGCCCTTCCATGACAGAATCCTCAGAGACATCCCCATCCTCTGAGTTTGGCAGAAGGTTGGCCATATGGTTGATTTACAGGGACACCAAAAGGAAACCAACCATTTTGGAGTTCTCCCTATTTTAAGACAAGCCTATATTTTCTCTACATTCTGCGAAGCGACCTTGCTATGAGCAAGATTTCTTCTCGGGATCCATGGCGAAACAACCACACATACCGTGCCGAACAATTTTATTCCAAGATGTTCTATTGATCTTTCAAGATGTTGTGACACTGTATCTACAGTAATGGTTCTAACACGTGGCGTCTAGACTGGTGTCCGCAGGCCGTAAGACGGGTAAGGGGCAAACCAAAACTGTAGTTTAGTCAAAGTCATCTGGGCGTACCAATCACCTATAATTACCGAGTGAGGCACTTGCTAGTGGCTTTATCTGTGGCAGGACTTGGAGTACTTCTCTCAATGCTTGAAACGTCACTCGTGAGAGAAGTTGCAGCGCGTGTTCTACTTCACCGCCCGCAAAAACCCGGCGCATGTTGTCGGCATCTGCAACGGCAACAAAGCAACATATCAAAGGCTGTCAAAAAAGAAGCATATGAGTTCTCCGATGTCCTTTCCGGTACTCAATGACGCCTGGAAAACTAAACAAAGCGCAATCTCCTGAAGCGGTCAACGTGGGTGTGCGACGATGCGAATGATCCCGCGACTCAAAGTTGCACATTGCATTTCTTCTTGACACGAATACAACGACGAAAGAAGTTCTACCTCGGCATCTGTGTGTGTGTGTGCATGTGTATGCGTTTTGCGTAAGAAACGAACATTCTTCATGCTGGTCTGATGCTTGAAGTGGTCTGCTTCAAATGCCCATAGCCATTCAGTCTTTCAGTACCCGCCAAGCTGCCAAAACGGTACTATTCTTACACCCCCGCAGGCTGCGCTCAATGTGAGGTTCCTAGCTAGGCCGAAGCCTACCTTTTGGCAACCTGGCTATCTCAATTTCAAAGGCACCAAAACAAGTGGTATATGTGTATATTATACGTATATACAGAACATAATGCATGGATGCATGCATGTATGTTTATTTATATATACATACATACATACATACATACATACATACATTACATTACATTACATTACATTACATTACATTACATTACATTACATTACGTTACATTACGTTACATTACATTACATTACATTACATTACATTACATTACATTACATTACATTACATTACATTACATTACATTAACATTACATTAACATTACATTGCATTACATTACATTACATTTACATTACATTACATTACATTACATTTACATTACATTTACATTACATTACATTTACATTACATTACATTACATTTACATTTACATTTACATTTACATTTACATTTACATTTACATTTACATTTACATTTACATTTACATTTACATTACATTACATTACATTACATTTACATTACATTACATTACATTACATTACATTACATTACATTACATTACATTACATTACATTACATTACATTACATTACATTACATTACATTACATTACATTACTTTACATTACATTACATTACATTACATTACATTACATTACATTACATTACATCACCTTACATTACATTACATTCCATTACATTACATTAATGCATACATACATACATACATACATACATACATACCTACATACATACATACATACATACATACATACCATACATACATACATACATACATACATACATACATACATACATACATACATACATACATACATACATACATACATACCATACATACCATACATACCATACATACATTACATTACATACATACATACATACATACATACATACATACATACATACATACATACATTACATTACATACATACATTACATACATACATTACATTACATTACATTACATACATTACATTACATTACATTACATTACATTACATACCAAACCATCCACAACATACATACATATACATACATACATACATACATACATACATACATACATACATACATACATACATACATACATACATACATACATACATACATACATACATACATACATACATACATACATACATACATACATACATACATACATACATACATACATACATACATACATACATACATACATACCATACATACATACATACATACATACATACATACATACATACATACATACATACATACATACATACATACATACATACATACATACATACATACATACATACATACATACATACATACATACATACATACATACATACATACATACATACATACATACATACATACATACATACATACATACATACATACATACATACATACATACATACATACATACATACATACATACATACATACATACATACATACATACATACATACATACATACATACATACATACATACATACATACATACATACATACATACATACATACATACATACATACATACATACATACATACATACATACATACATACATACATACATACATACATACATACATACATACATACATACATACATACATACATACATACATACATACATACATACATACATACATACATACATACATACATACATACATACATACATACATACATACATACATACATACATACATACATACATACATACATACATACATACATACATACATACATACATACATACATACATACATACATACATACATACATACATACATACATACATACATACATACATACATACATACATACATACATACATACATACATACATACATACATACATACATACATACATACATACATACATACATACATACATACATACATACATACATACATACATACATACATACATACATACATACATACATACATACATACATACATACATACATACATACATACATTACATACATACATACATACATACATACATTACATTACATTACATACATACATACATACATACATACATACATACATACATACATACATACATACATACATACATACATACATACATACATACATACATACATACATACATACATACATACATACATACATACATACATACATACATACATACATACATACATACATACATACATACATACATACATACATACATACATACATACATACATACATACATACATACATACATACATACATACATACATACATACATACATACATACATACATACATACATACATACATACATACATACATACATACATACATACATACATACATACATACATACATACATACATACATACATTACATACATACATATATGTATATATATATATATGTATATCAAGGGAGTCTTCATACTGCTAACTCATATTTAGCTTTCAATGTCATATTTCATCCTTTTAATCGAGCGGATTAGAGGCGGCCAGACAGAAGTACCTCCGGCACCGATTGGTCCTCAGCTCAGCTCAGGCTGCTTGCACCAAGGCCAAGCTGCTCAGTCTCCAGAAAACCCGAAAACCCATACCAAGTGCTTGAAACCTCATACCAACATGGCCATGGGTCAAAAACCCCGGTTACCCCCCCAGTGAACATCCCAATCCCCACTAGAACAGACTAAAATGGGTGGTGCACGTATCCCAAAATGGTACCGACCCACAGCCACATGGGTGTGGCCCAAACTTTAAGAGCTAGGGTTACGGAGGTAGTCTTTGGCTCCATTGACCAAGGTGCCATTTTGGTGCATGTTTTTCGCCCACACCCACATGTTTACATGCGTGTTCCTAGGCCTTACTATCACCCCCCATGAAACCAGCTACTAGAACCACCTAAAATGTTTCTTGGGGGTTTGGCCTCTGCTCGAGAAGGCTTTGGTGTTTGTTTGAAAGGGAAGCAACTCCAAAAAGGATTGCCCAGTGCGAGCCAGTGACCCACTTTTCGCGATAGGCAACCTCAGCGCAGAGTCAAGTGCAAAGCATGCCTTTTTTTTGCACAGCTGACATGCACAGAAATGTTGCGTGTACTCAGCATTGGCGCTGAGTTGTCTCGAACATGCGTTGCTTTCCTCGTTTGCAGAAGAAATGATAAGAAGCGTGGGGAAAAAAAAAAAAAAACACGCGGAACGTAGCGCACATGCTCCGCAAAAAAATGCGACTGGGCATCCTGCAATCAATCCATCTTCTCCACGCGTGAGCGTGCACGTGCCCGAAAGGGTCACCTGACCAAACCAGCAAGCCCGGGGCCGCAACCCGCTGGCTCTGCTTCTTTCCATAGCCTTTTCCGGTGTGGGTCAAGGGAAACCAACCCGCACCCTGTTGCAAGGAGAGATCCACCCAGCGACTTCCCCCCCCGAGAAGTGGCATGCGCTCGCCTTGGGGTGGATCAACGGGAAGTTGAACCTGGATCGAAAAGCGCAACCAAGCCGCGGGGGCTTTTGCGCGGGAGGGCTAAGCCAAAGACCACCCAACCCCATGTCGGGGTTGGATTTCTCAAAGTCCCCTAAACTAGTCGGTTTCGTCTCCCTAGACCTTCGAGTGGGTCGGACATCCTTTTTTGCGTTCTTCTTTTTAGGGGGTAATGTGGTGTGGCTTTAAAAGGGGCGACCAAAAAGAAGACCGGTTTCCCCCCCAAAAAAAAACGGCCCGCCCAGATCTTTCGCGATTTGCACACCGGAACCCAAAAAAGCTGCGCCGGGCGGCGCCAAGGTCTCGGCGAAGCGGAACTGGAGCTTCTTCCCGCCCTCCAAGACCTCCACGTCCCCCACCAGGTTTACTTGACTCTCGGACCCCACGAAGAGGGCCTCACGGCGTCACAAGGATTCGGACGGAAAGCTGAGAGGACTCGGAAAGGCCTCAGGCTGATTTTTGGTCAAGCTTTCAGGGGCCAGAAGCCCCAGAAAAGCCCTGAGTTTTGGTCAAGCTGGGGGATTCATAGAGGCGCTAGGGGCCCCAGAAGCAAAGGAATGGGCAGAACCGGCAAGATAATGGTGACGTTGCAAGGGAGAAGGGGGGGTGGGGGGGGGGGTCTTTTTTCACAGCGCATCCCCCTGTTTTTAGGGTGTTTGTGCTTAGGGGGCGAAATAAGTACAAAGACCTTACTTCCCCACTTGATCTAGATTCAGAGAACCCCAAACTTTGAGAATTACTTAGCCCCTAGCCTATTCTTCAGTTCGAAAGACTTGGGAAGGCCCTCTCAGGCTTTTCGGGATCAAGGCATGGGCTTTTTGAGTGTGACATTGCTTCATCACAGGTTGGCATTCCCAAGCCTTGGTGCAAAGTTTGGGGATTGGCCCCTCGCAAAAATCAAAGGCCCGAAGGCCCGAAGGCCCGAACAACAGGACTGGCGCCCGACTCCTTTGCAAGGCCTTTGTGCCCTTGATGAACTTGTCCTTCTGGTAGCTGTCGATCTCATCCGTGAACGTGCATGACTCGTCGTAGATCTCCTGACCATGGAGCTGAGTGTGAGCTCAAGCCAGTTCTCATGGCTGTGTTCACGGGAGAACCCCCCCCCAAAAAAAAAACGGGGGGTGCACATGACTAGGGCAACCCATTCGAACAGAAACCAAAGAGCCCTCTAACTATGGCAACCCATTCTCTCACTGCGCAGGTCATCTCATTGCGCTTCTGTCAGATTGCTCTTGCCCAGCTGTCCGGACTGAAATCGGCGGTGGCCAGGAATTGGCGCTCTACCAAATCTTGCCGCACGATCTTGGCCATTTCACTGGCGTCGAGGTTCCGCTTCTTCCCATCATCTGGCATGTTGCTTTTGTCAGCTCCCGCTACGTTCTCAAAATGGTAGAACGCAGACCCCTTGGATGTTTTCGGGAAACTGGCAGGTCTGGTTGGCTCTCTCAAAATGGTAGACTGGTTTGATGGCTTAAGGGAAACCAACTGGAAGCAACCCTTTTTTAGGGTCCTTAGTTTGAGAAACACGCCTCTTAGACCGCGGGTCTCATATGCATAGGATGGCTTCTGGTTGGATCCGTCTTAAGAGTGGTTTGTTCTCTTTTTACATTGGGGGGGGTGTCTTCAGATAGGCTCTGCAGCCCCGGATTTCGGTTTTCCAGCTGGTTTCCCTTTCATTAAACCAGCCCCCATGCAGGGTATCCTCAAAAAAACTCCAGACGGATCCGCATGAACCGAATCCCTGGCCAAAGTATGGCGGTGCCCAGAAACCGATCGGTATGCAAATGGCCTACCCGGAATATAATAAATGAAAGAGGCGGCGAAGCCACCGAGGTATCGTTGGGACCCCTTACCTTACAACCCATCTACCCGGGTGTTGAGCAAGTGGTATGGCTGATTTTTTGTTTAAAAGAAAAAGGACCCACCCCAGTTCAGTTCAGATTCCCGGCTCGGACAGACCGATGGAGACTCCACGCCACCCATTAGGAATGTCATTTTTAGATTTGAGCTGGTCCGACTTTCCTCCAAGCTGGGGCCCTTGGACGATCCTTCAAGAAAACCAGCTTCCAAGAACTTGGCCTTTTCTCATCCCCCCAGGAATACATCTGGAAAAAAATTCTTCCCCATTTCGAGCCTGCGCCCGCTGCGGGAACCAGCCCCAGCAGGCCACGCCGGCCCAGACCGGCGCCCAGCGGTGCCGAGCCAAAGGCCAGACTGGCCTTGACTGGAGCGCAGCACAGCTGAGTCACAAGCAAAACCCGGTACTAAGATGGTCTACCCAGCACCATGTAAGGAATGAAGAAGGCGGAGATCCGCAGCTATTTCTGGTTGGGATTGTCCCTTACCAACCTTCATCTACCCAGGTTTTGATTGTGGCTCAGCTGGCGCAGGAGTTGCGAGTTGCATCTAAAGGGCCCTTATGAAGCTTCCTTATAAGGCTTCCTTCTGAAGGAGCCCTGAAAAAAGGAGCGCTGAAGGAGTCCTGATAAAATGTAGAACTTGTACAACTCTCGATTTCCAGCACTTAGGTGTTACTGTTCAAACCACAGCACCTCTTCGTACAGCTCCAACAAGCAGGAAGAGCATTCCCTTGAACTGCATTTACAGCCGGAATATCCTGAAGCAAAAATCTAAAGTAACATCGACCTCCTCAAGCAAAGCCGCGGTGAACAGGGACTCCTGAAGCCTGAAACCCCAGTCATTTGCAAACGATGCACCCGGCTTTCCCAAGACCCGCGCCGTGCCCGGCCACGGTATGAAGAGCGCGAGCACTCCGAGGAAGCTGAGGCATGCGCCTGCCGCGGAATCCCACGGACTCCGCAATGTCACAAGCCGGGGCTGGCCTCGGCCTCTCCTCCTGGAACTCGTTGCCATGGCCGTTACAAGACTTCACTGCGTCAGTAATCTGTTGCGAGCTAGCGTGCCTTGCTGTTTTGATGAGCACTTGCGGGCGACGGACGGATGTTTGCCCACAGGTTCCAACTCTGCACAGCGGCTAGCAGTGTTGTGTTTTTTCCCGGGTTCAGCACAGACTCCGCAATCAGACCTGACATCTTCAAAAGCCAAGTTCATGAGCGCATCCCTCCGGCAGCTTGCTCGGGCTGTGCTCCGACAAATCGTGCAACGGCGGCAAGGGCAGAAGGTGCTGATTGAGTGGCCTCTCATGTGGCATTTGTGATATCAAGGTGCTGGTATGCCAAAGCAAAATGCACTCGAAGCGATTCCCTGTCACAAGTGCGAGCGATACCGTGCCGTCTCCAGACTTCTGTCTGCTACGCGGCGCCTTTTTTCGCACGCCTGAGGACTCCATGTCCGCCAGGCCCACGCGGCTCAGAAGTTGAAGAAGGCCAGGCCAAGAGCTCCCACGAGGGGCAGAGCTTGACAGCCCGACTTCACATCCTGGCTCTCTCTGGGCCCCGGCCGGGGCAAAATGTTTGGTTCTTTTCGCGGCATGGGACATGTCTCAGGCCGACCTGCGGCGCTTTTTGGGCGAAGGGAAGGCACCAAACGGCCGGAAACAAGCATGGTGCAGGTTGTTGCCAGCGAAGGGAACCATCAAGCGAGCGAGAAGCCGACGGGAAGGCAAAAAGGGGCGGCATCGCCGCCTCCGTCTGATTCTTGTCCAGATCCGGAACCTGTCCACAGTCAGGAGTTCCAAGGCAAGCAACACCACAGACACCTACCCTCTTTTCAACAATCATCAAAGGCACAAGGGGGTTGGTGACCATCTAAGAAAGGCAACTCCTGTCCACTTCGGTTGCACCAAGGTCGGGGCATCATCTGCTTCGTCCAGGATGTCCTCCTGACAGATCTGGCTCACTCTGAACTCCAAGCACGGACGATACAAAAAATCGCGGAAGGCTCCCCGTACTTGACCTTGAATCCACTTGAAGGAGCCCATTGAAGAAACGGGCCCGTCCAAATCTAACGATTGATAGCAACACTAGGGAACCCTGGAGCAAAAAGACGGTTTCTGGGGCTGGCGCGTCAGACTTGTCCTCCTGGCAGCGTGACGAATGGCCAAAGTCGGAGATGTTGACAGTCCGCCCTGAAATCATTCGTCGTCCTAAAGTGGGAGGAAACACGAACCAACTAAAACGGGACAGGGCTTTGGAACCATGTTTGGTTGGAAAATCCATACAAACACTGCTGACGTCGGGATTGATCAACCTGTTGACAGGGGATAGAACAGCACCTCCAAAATGGGGCACGCCATGGCGCACCACTACAAATCAGCTGGGCGTGCGAACCCTGTGTTGCCATCACCAAATTCATAATAAGCATGCGGCAGCGGTAGCAAGACAGGGGGACAAGAACAGCCAGTCTCTGAGTGAGTCACCGACGGGAGGGGCAGCAAAGAGGAAGGAGCGAAGCAGCGCTCAAAACCCCTTTACGAGGATGCTTGTGCCAACATGGCTGTGAAGATACAAGTTGCACTCAGTTCAGCCTAATGTCGTTGGACATAAATTGTTTTCCGTGCAGCTCTGGTTTGAATAATTCGCGAGCCCTTGCTTGCTCTTGAAAAGGAACCAACGGCACCTATTGACGTTGACAGGTTCCCGTGTGTTCCTCCGTGTCGTGCCAAGTGCCCGAGGTACACATCGGATTCACCGGCTTGCGGCTCCCGGCTCCTCCTCGGTGCTGTTGTCCCCATTCACCTCTTTCTTTGTGTCCTCCAGGGTTGGTGGATCCTTTGCGGGAGTGTGGTGGGGAATCAACCACTGGTATCAAACGAGACAAGGTTCAGCGATGATTGAAATGAGACAAAGCCTCAGCAAAAAAGATTGGGTTGGGGGAGTCAAGCCCTTGCTACCATGGCAATTAACCACATAAAAACCAACTTCCCTGGCTTCCCTGATATTTTCCTCAGACCCGGAAATTTTGGTGACCAACAAGCTGCCAACCAACCGCTCTAAAAGGCGTCCTTTGGCACCTTGGTCTTGTTCTCCGGGACTGTCTGCTTGGCCTTGACCTCGGCCTTTGGTTTCACCTCAGCCTTGGCCTCCTCGGGGGCTCGGCTCAGTTGACTCTCACCAGGGCCAAGGAGCCCCAATGGCTTTTGAGCTAGTTCTTGCTTTGGGGGGGGTTCCATGCCCAGCGCCAGCCCAGTGGCTTGTTGTTTGTTGCTTTTCTGGCTTCTTGGCCATTTTTGTTGCTTGCGAGTCCACACATGCCCCTCCCAAGTTCATCATTGCCAGGCTATGTTGACCGAAGAGGCAGAAAAACACTCCAGGCGCATCCCCATTCTCGGCCAGCTGCCGGTTCAGGGGCCAAACAAACACCACCTGAGTGAAAACCAAAACCGCCGGATGTTTCGCGGGGGCGTCTAGCTACAAATGAAGCTGCGTACACCTCTTTGGTCTTGATGTCTGATGTATATACACCACGCACGCGCGCGTGTAAGGAAGGATAGGTTCAGGTGTGCATCTTTGAACCCTCCATCCCTCCCAGGTCAGGAGTTGTTTGCAAACCAGGAAAAAAAAATAACGTGTTACGAACGAGTCCCGGAGCGTTTTGGCTAGGGCACCACAACCTTTCTTTGGATTGGGGATTTGGAGGTTAGGATGGTGTCCCATTCAGCCTCGGCAAAGGCCAGGGGTGCAAATCCTCACAGCCATCAATCCAAAGCACCAGCTGCAGTGAGGGTTCCCTGAACCTTTTTGGAAGCAAACAACAGACAAAATTCCAACCACTGGTCCCCTGCAAAGGGAAACCGCACCAAACCAGAATCCTAGCTGCTCCAAGCCGCCAGCTTTCAGCCAGCTCCGGGGTAGTCTGCCTTCATGACCTCTAATGTGTCCGTTCCCCCAAAGCCCCCCAAAAAAGAAAAGTTCATTCCCACCCCCCCCTGAAAGAACAAACAGAGCAAAACAAAAACAACAAACTACACCAGCATAGACCCCAAAGAGCAGCCCAGAACAGCACCTGCTCCAGCACCCCAAACTGCATGCCCCCTAGCACCCTGCTGTCAATCTTGCAAAATGCCCGCGCCGTCGCCCCGAACAATCTCGTAACAATGCGCCCGCGCCGTCAGCAGCAACTCAAACAGCCCCAAACAGAATCCCAAAACAGCACCTGCACAAGCACCCCAAACTGCACGCCATACCACCCTAAAGTCAGTCTTGCAAAACTGCGCCAGCAGCGTCACCTGCACGCATGCCCCCTAGCACCCGGCCATCTATCTCGCAAAAATTCGCCCGCACCGTCACCAGCAACTCAAACAATTACCCAAACAGCACGCCAAAGCTGCACGCGCTCGCCCTGCCATCAATCTTGCAAAAAATGCGGCCGCACCGTTACATGCTCCACGAACAGCTCCGCAAACAACACACCCTAACAGCATTTGCGCCAGCACCCCACCTGCACGCCCTCTAGCACCCAGCCGTCAATCTCGCAGATCACTTTCCTCGCTTTATTAGAAGTTAGAACCCCTATAGCTTTCAGCTATCTGGAGAAAAAGAAAGGTTCACCTGCTCCAGCACCCCAAACTGCATGCCCCCTAGCACCCTGCTGTCAATCTTGCAAAATGCCCGCGCCGTCGCCCCGAACAATCTCGTAACAATGCGCCCGCGCCGTCAGCAGCAACTCAAACAGCCCCAAACAGAATCCCAAAACAGCACGCCATACCACCCTAAAGTCAGTCTTGCAAAACTGCGCCAGCAGCGTCACCTGCACGCATGCCCCCTAGCACCCGGCCATCTATCTCGCAAAAATTCGCCCGCACCGTCACCAGCAACTCAAACAATTACCCAAACAGCACGCCAAAGCTGCACGCGCTCGCCCTGCCATCAATCTTGCAAAAAATGCGGCCGCACCGTTACATGCACCACGAACAGCTCCCCAAACAACACACCCTAACAGCATCTGCGCCAGCACCCCACCTGCACGCCCTCTAGCACCCAGCCGTCAATCTCGCAGATCACTTTCCTCGCTTTATTAGAAGTTAGAACCCCTATCCCCCCCAGTAAAAAACACACACACAAAAAAAAAAAAGGAAAATGGAAAAAAAGGTTCGGCTGGTGGCGTGCGCGGTCCTTGGGGGGGTCCTCCAAATTCGCGGAGGCCTCGGCCTCCCTCACCAGCTGCTCCGCCAGCTGCTCCTCCACGCTGGACGAGAGCAGCGCCGCCTGGAGCCAAGGCTCCGGACTCCAAATGGGTCTGTCTAATGAGTCCCCTGCAATGCCAACGAACAATGGATTGTCTTTTGGTTGGTTTCCATGGTTTACACTTTACACGTTTTTTTTTTTTAATGGTTTCCATGGTGTGTAGGGTTTCTTGTGGTTTTCCATGGTTTCCAAGTGGTCCCAAATGGCTGTGGGTCAAAACCAGTGGGATCCCATTTTGGGGTAGGTGCACCACCCATTTTAGAGCCTATTTTAGTGGAGATTGGGATGTTTACTACTCACAATCAAAACCCGGCATTAAAATAGTCGTAATCCCAGAACCATGCTTCAAGAACTAAAAAGGCAGAATTCCGCAACTAGTTCTGGCTGGGACTGCCCCTGACTAACCTTCATCTACCCGGGTTTTGATTGTGGCTCAAATGGGTCTGTCTTTTGGCTGTGGCTCAACAAACCGGTGCCAAACTGGAACCCTGGCTGCCAACATCTGGTTTTGCGCTTCTGGCACATCTGGCAAGTCACCATTGAGACAATGATTACTGAGTCATAGTCAAAGTCCCGGTATCAAAATGGTCGTAATCCCAGAACCATACTTCAAGAACTAACAACGCGGAATTCCGCAACTAGTTCTGGCTGGGACTGCCCCTTACTAACCTTCATCTACCCGGGTTTTGATTGTGGCTCAAATGGGTCTGTCTTTTGGCTGTGGCTCAACAAACCGGTGCCAAACTGGAACCCTGGCTGCCAACATCTGGTTTTGCGCTTCTGGCACATCTGGCAAGTCACCATTGAGACAATGATTACTGAGTCATAGTCAAAGTCCCGGTATCAAAATGGTCGTAATCCCAGAACCATACTTCAAGAACTAACAAGGCGGAATTCCGCAACTAGTTCTGGCTGGGACTGCCCCTTACTAACCTTCATCTACCCGGGTTTTGATTGTGGCTCAAATGGGTCTGTCTTTTGGCTGTGGCTCAACAAACCGGTGCCAAACTGGAACCCTGGCTGCCAACATCTGGTTTTGCGCTTCTGGCACATCTGGCAAGTCACCATTGAGACAATGATTACTGAGTCATAGTCAAAGTCCCGGTATCAAAATGGTCGTAATCCCAGAACCATACTTCAAGAACTAACAACGCGGAATTCCGCAACTAGTTCTGGCTGGGACTGCCCCTTACTAACCTTCATCTACCCGGGTTTTGATTGTGGCTCAAATGGGTCTGTCTTTTGGCTGTGGCTCAACAAACCGGTGCCAAACTGGAACCCTGGCTGCCAACATCTGGTTTTGCGCTTCTGGCACATCTGGCAAGTCACCATTGAGACAATGATTACTGAGTCATAGTCAAAGTCCCGGTATCAAAATGGTCGTAATCCCAGAACCATACTTCAAGAACTAACAACGCGGAATTCCGCAACTAGTTCTGGCTGGGACTGCCCCTTACTAACCTTCATCTACCCGGGTTTTGATTGTGGCTCAAATGGGTCTGTCTTTTGGCTGTGGCTCAACAAACCGGTGCCAAACTGGAACCCTGGCTGCCAACATCTGGTTTTGCGCTTCTGGCACATCTGGCAAGTCACCATTGAGACAATGATTACTGAGTCATGGTTAAAGTCCCGGTATCAAAATGGTCGTAATCCCAGAACCATACTTCAAGAACTAACAACGCGGAATTCCGCAACTAGTTCTGGCTGGGACTGCCCCTGACTAACCTTCATCTACCCGGGTTTTGATTGTGGCTCAAATGGGTCTGTCTTTTGGTTGTGGCTCAACAAACCGGTGCCAAACTGGAACCCTGGCTGCCAACATCTGGTTTTGCGCTTCTGGCACATCTGGCAAGTCACCATTGAGACAATAATTACTGAGTCATAGTCAAAGTCCCGGTATCAAAATGGTCGTAATCCCAGAACCATACTTCAAGAACTAACAAGGCGGAATTCCGCAACTAGTTCTGGCTGGGACTGCCCCTTACTAACCTTCATCTACCCGGGTTTTGATTGTGGCTCGAATGGGTCTGTCTTTTGGCTGTGGCTCAACAAACCGGTACCAAACTGGAACCCTCGTAAGTGGAAACATGGACCAAAACCTGCGTAACCCCTGTTGAATTTTGAGCCACACCCATTTGGTTGGTTCTTGAAAGCAAAACCACATGGCCAACCACTAGTTTATGGGGGGTCCCCCTAAAAACTGGCAGACTCCAAATAGATGTGTTTTCTTTTTTCTCAAAATGCCCCCCCCCCCCCCAGCCCACCCCACCTCCCCCACATGACCGGCGTTCTTTTCTGAAACAAAACACTTTGAAGGGTATACCTAAAAGAGACGCCTGCGTCACCACATCGAGTTTCAATCATCCTCATCGCATCCAAGTTCCCACGCCTGGGGCTTTGGCGCGTGGTGGCGAACGTGCCTGGCGCGGGCGGACAGCTTGGCTTGCTTCTGCGACATGGAAAAACCGGAACCTCCGCAGCCGAGTTTGAAATACACCTGGAAAGGGCAACCAACAAAAAAACTCACAGCCCTCTGTTTGATCCACTGGTCTAGCAGCCCTGGGCAAATTCATGCTTATGGCTGATTGTTGTCATCGTGCATAGTTCGCGCAGGTCTTCGCAAGTCGGCTGGGCCAAAAGGGAGATGGCCGTCCTTTCAGTAGATTGGTTTCACTGTTCTCCGTTTGGTTCTAACTTTTCTGCCCCACACACACACACACACACACACACACACACACACAAACACCTTTCACACGGAGATTCGACTGCCGCGACCCATGAAAACCCGCACTGTGTTCAAGTTGCTTCCAAAAGATACGGCGAGGTGAAGCTCATTGATCAAGACCCGCCGAAAAGGGCTGACCAGAGTGGCCTCAGTGGGAAATGAGTCATTTTCACTTGGTTGCAGTTGGAAGGGGAGCAAAACTCTAAATTTCAGCAGTCAAGTGGCTGGATTTCCACCACTACACCACAACGAGCAAAAATGAACAAAAATGAAATTCTAGCAGTTTGGTGGATTCGGATTTCAGCCACTAAACCACCATAAGCGAAAAATGTTTCAAATGTTTCCCCACAACCATGTTCAGGGGCCAAGGCCCCCCTGCATTCGGCAAAAAGAGGGCATCTCAACTTGCTTGCCACCCCATTGGCTGGGGTTTCAGGCGAACTTGAGCCCGCAATTTTGGCCAATCTTGTGATTTTCACCAAGACAGCTGACGAACTATGAGCCTTGGGCAACAAAACCCGCGGGATCGCGCGGGTTTAAGCTGCTACGTGAGCCACGCCCTCCAAAAACGGCCCGCGGAAACTTGAGAAACCCCCCAAAAGGCAAAAAACTGAGGGGGGTTCCACCAGGTTCAACGGGGAACCCGAAACAAACCCCGTTTTGGGGCCAGAGACCCCGCTTTTCATTCGACGCCGGCACGCCTCTTGTGGTGCTTCCGCAGGCCCTCCGCACCCAGCAAAACCAGGCAGAGCAACACCAGCCGCAACCTGAGAGGCGCGAGGCCTTCGGTTGGAAGGCGACCCCTTCCCCGCGGTGAAAAACGGACGGCGCGAGCCAAGTCCCTTTTCTCACCCGGAAAGTTTCACCTGAAAAAGGCTTGTGTTCGTGGTGGCGAAAATGGGAAAAAAGGATCCGATAAACTATCGGCGCCTAGCTTCAGCATCTCATTCTGCTCATTGGGCTGTTCTTATCACCTAGACCACCTGCCACCCAAACCAACCTGCCCAGCCTTCGCGTGTGTGTTTTCTCCACACCTTCCCGAAAGCTCCCTGACCCCAAATCAGGGGGCCTTGTGGTTCTCCGCCCTATCCAATAGCTGAGCCGAGCCGCGCCATCCTTCGCTGGAAAGCTTCGTTGATACAAAAGGTGTGGCCCCTCAGAGCTTGAGCTGAAAGGCTCCGGGAGATGCGTGTTCCCCGCTTCGGGCAGGAAAAGATTTCAGGGATTGGTGCCCAGGAAAATGCCCAAAGCAAATCGACCAACGATTTTGGTTGCTCCCAAGGAAGAAAGAGATGGAACATACCCCAAGAATGGCTCAAAGCGGCTTGGAACCATTATGGGCTTCGGTTTTCCTTGTGGCTCCCTTTAAAAAAGCAACCCCCCCCCCCCACCAAAGGGCAAAGAGGGACACACCAAATTGAAGCTCGCGGCTCAACAAGTACCCCAGCATCTATTTGGTTTGTAGGGTCAGAGATTTCACCACTTTTGTTCAACCTCCTTATTGGGACTTTCCAACGAGGCACTTCAAGGTGTCAATGGTCTGATCCTAGGGCAAATCGATGGGCGCCTAGGCTGAGGAAAGATCGCCGGCGGCGATCGGGACCAAAGCAGGAAAAGAGGTTGTTTCGGGAACCAAGCTGAAACATCAACCACCCAGAAGATTGGTCCCTGCTTTGGACACAATCTCAACTGCGGATTAAGAAACCCCTGGTTCATTCATGGGGGGTTCGTGACTTTTGAACGGGGATACCCCCTTTTAGTAGGATGGCTTTATTGATTGGGGTCATAAGACCAACAGCTGCTCGCGGCCTTCTTTCGCACGCAGCACATCATGGTGCCATTCTAATTGCCCCTTTCTGCCCTCTTTGAAGCAGACTGGGCGTGATGAAGCCGCGAGTCCGAAAAGCAGAGGAGGCCAAAACTTTTGAGGTGCTGGGAAACAAAGGGTGTCCACCAAACATTTTGGGGGCTCTTGTTTTTGGATGTCACCACGCCCAAGCTGAAGCCAAGCAACAGCCACAGATCGAGTCTTGCAAAACGGGTGCCGGGTGAAACGGGGACGACGTCGGCTAGGGCTCCATCGCTATGTGCAGCACCTGCGCTCGGCGGCTAGGCTTCCATCCAAACGCAAGCGGTGCTGAGGTCAAAAATTACCTGTTGTTGGACCTAGGTGGCAGTTCCACCAGTAAATTTATGGACTTTGGAAGGGGCATGCTGCAAAGCCTGGAGTTCTGTCACAAAGAGAGGCACTCTTCATCCTTCCAATGGGCAATGTCGCCAACTTTTGTGACATCTGGGCATATGCCAAGATCACAGGGGCACGCCGTCTCGGTGGGATCAAAGTTTCATGCCAGCCCAACAAAAGCACTAAACCGTATGTCTGGATCTTTCAAGGAAGCACAACGCAACCCCAATTCCCTCGGCCATTCCCTACGCCCCACCTTTTCGTCGCCTACTGGCGGAGCCCGAAAATGGGATGTGCGTTTGACTGCCCTTGAAAGCAACCTCCAAAGAGGGGTTATTCTTCCAGGCCCAGGATATGCCAAGGAAGTGTCCGAACACAATAGTCCTATTAAAAATTAAAACAACAACAAAAAACACGAAAAACAACAGCTTTTTATGAAGGGCAAGACCAGCTGGTCAATGACAATCTAGTGATAAAAGCACAAATGCCCAACAAGCTTGATCCAATCAATCATTTTTCCCGGAGGTTCTCTCCATTTTTCCGCGTCTCTTACGGCCTCTTTAAGGCCTCACAGTCCCTCTCCCCATCACCCCCCCCCCCCCCCAGCTTCGAGCCAAAAAGGCCACTTGCGCGTCTCTCATCTAGCTAAACGAGAGGAAGCCTTAGGAAGGAGAACGTTGAACCAAAAAGGCCTCCTCCAAGGCTCCAAGGCCCCCGTCCGATCCGATCGTCGAGTCGGATCCGCGCGTTCCGCGGATGCCCCCGCCTCTGCCTCACGGCAGGCCGCAATCAAGCCCACAGCGCTGTTGAAGCGACCATTCACCTGGAGGAACCCCTGGGACCCAGGGCGCCGGTGGTTTTTTGTTGTTTTCCTTGAGGGAGTTCCTTTTTTCTGGTTGTTTTCCCTTATTTTGATTTTATGTTTCTTTTTTTAGTATGGGTCAGGATTGCGCAAAAACTGGGGGACTGCAGGTTTTAGTCCTGGTTGGATTGTGTTTCTTGAAAGGGACATTCTCGTAAGTCGGTCCGTGATAGTGCACAGGAAATGGTTTCGTGCCCTTTGGCAGGGGTCGAATCAGGCGTGGGATTAAAGCTATACATTGTGTTGTTGTAGATGTATTTATGTATGTTCCAGGCCGTGGACCCGTGGGTGGGGTGGTTGGGTGGTTGGGGCGTGGTTTGGGGTTGCTTGAATCCCCAGAAAAACCATAGAAGGCTAGTCCCTCTTTGGGTTGGCATGTCTCTCTTCTTCTTTTCGAAAGCCCGCACGCCCATCCGGCCTCCACCACGCGCATGCCTGGCCTCACTATCTCCTTGGATCCTGGCTGTTGCGCCTGGTTCCACCTGGCGGGTTGCAAGCTCGACTCGAGACTCGACACCCGCCGCTCGCAAGCGTGTCCCACAGCCGATCCGCAGAGCCGCACCTATCTACGAGGCCCCCAGGGGTGACACTCTTGATCTCCAGCGTGCCAACCTAAAGCGGGCGAAAAAGGAGGTCAAAGAGCTGAATGAACCCCACGGGCTGGCTGCCCTTCAAAAAAGAGCCACCCCAAAAAGGCAGCACTCAAAAGCCAACAAAGCCAGCAAGACAAACAACAACACTCGCGCAACAAACACACAAACACAAGCAAACCAACACGACACAAACACCAAACAAACAAACAAACAAACAAACAAACAAACAAACACACACACACACACACACACACACACACACACAACACACACACACACACACACACACACACAACACACACAAACACACACACACACACACACACACACACACACACACACACACACACACACACACACACACACACACACACACACACACACACACACACACACCGCTTAAGTAGCACACCCGGTTCTTTTCTTCGAGAACCCTTCTGGAGTGTTCAGCACCCGGCCTTTTCAGGCGCCGCGTCTATCCCAAGGCCTTCACCATTCCTGCACGGACAAAGCAAACACCCAACGAACCCCAAATCCTCGCAGAGGATCGATCCACGTTTTGTTTTCTCTTTTTACCCAGCCGATCGCATTTCAGGCCGACCGGCTCATACGCCAAATGGCGAAGCAAAATGAAGGTTGAAAAACAGTCTTGGGGGTAGAAAAGCCGGGTAGCACAGGGTTTCCCTGATTTTCCCTTTTAGTAACCTCATGCAAACCACCAGTCAACTGCAACTGTCGAAGAGGAAATCCAGTGAACTCTTCAGCATATCGGGCTACCTCAAAGCTGGCAGTGTCTCCTTCGGTCAATGATGATGGTGAACTCAGTGGACGACCTGGCCAACTTGCACACCGGTTCACGTTTCCAACTACGGTTCACGTTGCAAAAATGTCGACAGCAACCAAGCAGATCTGCCACCTGAATGCCATTCCAGTGGGTTTGTCTCTAGACAGCCTGGCACCAAAAGCAAAAGGCCCGGTTCCCGTTGCTTTCCCCCCGTTCCAGGACCCCTTCCAACCCTCCGAGCTTGTGGGAACTTCGACCTTCGAGCTGCGGCGAAAGGCGCCTCTTCCGAGTTTGTCTCCCGGGCCTGGCACCGAAAAGGGCCAGAGCGAGCCGGTGGCAGAATCGAAACCAAGCTGTCTACCCAAAACCCATGGGGTTAGTTAGTCTTATTTCTATTGTTGTAAAAAAAAAAAAAAAAAAAAAAACTAGGGCGATCTGCACCTATGGTTTTGCCACACTTCATCTACCCGGTTTTTGATTGTGGCTCATGACCGCTTGAGCCATGGTCAAAAACTCCCTATGTGAGCCAAATGGTCATGTCTCTGCTAGGAATCCGTGTCATATTCTATAGAGGGGTTGATGACCACCCCTACCCCCAAGCGAAAGGGTGTCAAATGACCGTGGCCCGCTTGATTTGACCCTTTTCCGGTTTCTCCTTCTTTCGGAAACCGAAGGAAACCAAAAATCAAGGTCCCCCTATTTTGCCACATCCCCATTTCTCCTCCGGCCATCTTTCTCGTCGCACGCCCCGCGCCTCTTGGAGTCGTCTGCGCCCCCTTGCCTCAGGTCCGACCGGGACGCCGAGCCGAGCTCGTGGAGTGACACTCAACTCCCAGGCACCCGGAGCATCCCAGGCACCGAACATGGCCGGCAAACCCAAAAAACGCTACGACGGAAGTCCAAGCGGAACGCGGGGAGTGAGGATGCTCCCAGTTCACTCTGAGGATGCCACAAGTCATCCTCGCAGGAGCAGCAGGATCCGCTGGTCCCCATCGCCGGTGGGTCCTCAAAGATGCGAAAAGAGGTCCCAAAGCTACAGTAGCTGGCAAAAGGTCAGCATGGTGGAGTCATCCCTTTTTACTTCACCTGAAAAAAGCTTTGCCATCTACTTTCTTCGCATGAAAAAAGCTTTGCCATCTACCTTGCCCCTGGATGAAATAATCACATTGGGAGAGATGATCGCAACCGCCGATAGGCCCCGCGTCCTCCCAAGCACCGATCCCAAATGGACAATGGCAAGCTGGAGCCAAGCGGAACGGCGCAGAAAGCTTCGGCAACAGCTGCTCTTCGGAGCGGCGGCGCGAAAAAAGGCACAACTCACAGGCGAAACCAGGTAAGCCGACCCTTTCTCACTCCCTGAGTTCCGCTTCGGGCTCTCGAGTCGCTTGTTGGGATTGGAGGATGAACGAAAGAAGTTCGGGTACCCAAACCAAATGCTTCGACCTCAGGTCTGTTCCCAATCTCTTTCCGCCGAGCGTTCGTGAAACAGAGTCCAACGCCTCACAGGAAGCACCTCATTTGGCCTCGTCTCCTGGCGTTCGTACCTGCAAACTCAAGCCCAGTGCTTCCAGTCAGGGCCTGACCGCCAGGTTTTACATGGTCATGGTTCAAAACCAATGGTACCATTTTGGGATAGGTGAATTCACCACCCATTTTAGAACCTATTTTAGTGGGGAATGGGATGTTCACTGGGGGTACGATTTGGGTCTTGACCCATGGCCACATGGCTTCCCCTGGGCATAGTGGGAACTGGAAACACTGTGCCCACAGGACATCCACTGAACCCGTCTGCAGTGTGCGTCAAGACAAGTTGGACCCATCCACATGAACGTTGTGTTGCTCCCCGTTTCGACTCGGCACGGAAATGGGGTTCCACAAATGTCCTTAAGCGTCATCCCAAAGGAAACTCGTTGATGTTGTTTTTTTTTGGCTAGCCTTTTTGGGGTTGGCATCAAAGGACTTCAACAGGACAACTACTATTTTTCTGTTTTTTGTTGGGGGGGGGCTATAAAAACAAGCACACCCCAAAACGAAGGACCCTTGCTGCGGTGTCCCTGGCTTCACAGTCTTCCTTCTTGCTTCGGGGCACTGCAGGGCGCCAGCACCTCGGCAAAGGAAGCTGCTGAAAGGACACTCTTCTTGACATGAATTCTGACAACCCACACACAGAGGGTCAGAAACAAAAAAAGAAGACCCTAAACCAAAAAAAACTCCTCTCTTGTTGGCTTCTTCCGGACCAAAAAAGAAAGACACCCTTATTATTTTTGACGCCCTTTCTTCACAACGTAAGTTTCCTCCACAAAGCGCTCATCTAAGCGTCTGCTAGAGGCCAAACCACCCCGTTTTGGCTTGTTCAGTGGCCAAGACCGACATAAAGCTCATCTCGCATACTTACCTCTGAAGTTTCACGGTCCGCAGCAAGAATTTATATGCATCAAGTTTCGGAGGCGCGATAGAAACCTTTGCAACTCCATACTGTGAGTGAAGACATCCTCGCTGCGAGCTAGAATCGATAGGAGAGCTGCTCCCTGGCGTTCCTTTTTTGGAATGCAAGCAACCAAAGGTGCTGGCCACTTTTTCCAAGCAAGCGTAGCTTCACAAAGTTGAGCCGCCTCGACTCGTTTAGCTGGGGACCGGGAAGTTTCCTCTTGAGACGGAGCCAGATGCACGTCTCGGGCAGGAGGCAGCATTTGCTCTGGGCTAGTTTGTGCGACTTCGCTTCCCAACTCAAAACTCATAGGCCCTTTTGGTATCCCCTTCAAAATCTCAAGGTGGCTTGTGCGGCAACACCAAACTGCAAAAAGGAAGCGGCTCTCTTGTTGACAACCCTCCATCTCTAATTTCAGGACACCTTCCCTGATTGGGTTGCAACAGATCTCACTTCAATTGCCAGAAAATGGACACTCCCACAAACCCCGAAATCAGGCTGCGGCCGCCAGAGAAGACGGAACCTGCCGTCGTGATGCTAAGAAGATGTGACTCTCTCTCAAAACAGGACAAGGCACCCCCGAAAAAACAGCAACTCCTCTAGCGCGGGTACAGTGTGTGATGATATGCAAAAGACGTGAGCAGTTTGCCTGATACAATGGCCCTGTGTCACCGAGACAGACTGAACCATGTGGTTGAAATGGAAATGGACCACTTCTGTTATACAACCGAACGGGGGCCTCAAGACGAACCCCCTTTTGGGGGATTCTGGGAACTAAACCCTTTGTGCTCCCACGAGCCTGGACGGAACACTCCAATCAGAGTGTCATAGGCACCAGCAGAAGCATTTTTGTTCAGGAAGTTGGCCAACTTCCCACCAAACCCAGGGGGGTACTGAACCCTCCGCCAATGGGAGTGTCATGGGAACAGGTAACCTGAGTTTTTCAGGAAGTTGGCCAACCACCCACCAAAACCAGGGCGTTCCTCTGGAACCTCCGGTGGGTTTCTCAGAGAGATCTAGGTGTACCTTCACCATCTTTTCCATTCATCCTTCTTACTAGAAGACCTTCGGAAACCGCCGGAAACCCAGGGAAAACGGGCGGAGCTTTGAAAGAACGATGGTGGAGAAGAATGGAATCGGAATCAACCCCTGGAAGAGTGGTCTCCCCGGCGCGCAAAGCCGCGCCTGAAACTCGAAGGCGGCCGTCTCGCCCTTCACGCACTGCGGCGCAAGCACCCGAGCGAAGTACCTCGGTGCGTGGTCACGTCTCGGAAGGTCAAAGAAGACAAGGAGAAGTAACCAAAAAGGAAGAATGATTAAAACAAAACCATTCAAGGAAAATAGGGAACAAAAGAGAAGAGCTGTAAACAACCAGCAAGCGGGCAGGAACAAAACAGAGAATGCAGCAACCAAGCCTGCGAGCTCCCTGCATCAATTCTGAGGAATGGGTCCAAACCTCCCGCAGCACCGATGCTCGACAGCCCCAAACTTGAAAACAGGCCTTCGCCACGGCGTTTGAGGGGAAACCTGAATACCGGTTTGGTGTTTTATGTAGGCGTCCAGGTCAAATAAAATTCAAACTCAATCCCTGCCCGCTGGTGGGATCTCCTTTTGAGAGGCCGCTTCTTGGGGTATCTCTAAAAACAACATCTGCGCGGTCTCTTTAGTTGGTGGGCGTCCCACTCAACATGGTTCCGTTGCAAGGGTCACAGTTCAACCGGGGCCGTAGCTGTTGATTTGCATAGGGCATACTGTTGCTTGGAAAACATCCTGCACCAGTTGGGATGGATGAGATCCTGCGATTTGTTGGTTGATAAACCATAAATCCCAGCTGGCGAGTGTTGCGGACTTTTTTCCCCCGGTGGTTGAGTTGAGCATTGTCTTTGGCTCTAAGGCACGTCACCGCAACATGGAACCCACCAAAGAGTCCCGTTTCGACTAGTTTGGCATCTTCTCTTGAAGGCATCCTTAGGTTGACTTCAAACGGAAACCCATGTTACAGTTCCCGACCGCCCAACCAAACCGGTCTTTGCTTCGAGCCAACCCACCGTCATGTCTCTGGGGCCGCGGGCTCCTCTCGCGCGGTGAGCCAGTTCTTATGGCACTCGGCATCTACCTCGCGCCAAGGCGCCCCGGGTCATGGCCTTCTGGCCCATGCGAAAATGGATGTCGATCACGCAAATCCAAGCAAACTGGTAAACTACAAGGAGTTGCAACCTAGTCATGACCCAAGTAGAACCACAAGAAAGAACAAAAGGTGCATCCTTTTACGCACATGCTTGGCTTGAATGGAGTTGCATGTAAAATTGGCAAACTCGTGCACTCGACATGTTTGGTAATTCCGAGTTCCTGCTTGCCACTGTGTCTTTAAAAAAAAAAAAATGTGTCTTTAAGAGAGAGAGAGAGAGAGAGAGAGAGAGAGAGAGAGAGAGAGAAAGAAAGACCACTGTGTCTTTAAGAGAGAGAGAGAGAGAGAGAGAGAGAGAGACCACTGTGTTTTTGAGAGAGAGAGAGAGAGAGACACAGAGAACCCCCCCCCCCCGGTGTTACGCTGCTGGACATTCTTCAGAACAAAGCGAAACCAGGCCCTGACTTCAGCACCGGAAAGGCGCCCGGCCAGGTGATGGTCATCCATCAGCTTCTGGCACTCTGCGTCATGAATGGCCTCCCACCGTGGATGGCAACCGCTAAAAAAAAACGGGGGGACAAACCAAGCCAGGTGGCGGCTCGTGTTCTTTAGGGGGTGTTTGTGTCTGAATGTTTGGGGTTTGAGGTGTTTCATGGCTTAATCAGCCTTTTGGCATTTGGTGTGTCGGGGACTGTTGAAACCAATTTGGCCCAACCGCGCTTCGCCCAGCCCCCCTCGCACGGTGCGTGAATGCTGGACCACAGCCACCGTCAAAATGTGTTGTTTCAGGACAGGAAATCACTTCCCCAACCAAAGCAAAAACAAAAAGACACCCCTCCAACCCAACCTGGTGTTACCTGTCTGGGTTTGTTTTTTGCCCCGGAAAAAACAGCACAAAAAGGGCGAAAGAACCCGCCGAAGATCCCGACATCCGTGGGCACCTTCGTGAGCCAGAAGGCGGTCTCGTACCTGCGCCAAGGCCCAAAGCGATCTGAAGCTGAGAAAACACGGCGAAGCAGGGGGCGGCGGCCGCGTTTTTCCGAGGAACGCCGGGCCTCCCAAAAAATGGCTTCGGCCTGTTCGCCTTTTATTTGGCTTTCCTATAACACCACCAGCAAAGAGGGGTAAACCAACTCCCAAAAAAGACACAGCCACATCAAACCTAGCCGTTTCCGAAGATTGCACATAGAGGTCTGTTTTGGGACGCAGCGAAGATGAGAGGATAAATTATATATATATATATATATATATCATTTTATACATATGTATAATAGAAAACCGAACAAACCAAAAACACCGGTGCCTTGGGCGACTCGCACGACCACCCCTGGCACGTGACAAGCCCCGAACCCGGAGGCGCTTCGGCTTCTGAGCCGCGAAGTCCTGCCACGCCGTCTCCACGTCTGCCATGGCCTGCGGCAAGCCGTGGCGGTTCTTGAATTTTTTGGGGGGAACCCCTAGGCTGGAAAGAGGACCCCAGCAAAAAAAACAAACAAACAGAGAAATATATACATAGGACAACAAAGTAGATTTGTAGATATGATATATGTATGCCTGGCTGGTGGAAAACAATGGGGACCCAAAAAGAAAAGGGGGAGTTAATTCTGGGGAAGTGTTGGGGTGGAAACCAAAACGAAACCGAAGGAACACCCCCCCCGCTCGATTTTGGAGGTCGTCGGTAAGGGTATCCAAAAGTAAACTCCATTATTTGGGTGTGAAATGTAACGGGTCTTGGAGATTGTTGTTGGACAAACCATGCAGGTGGGGATTTATGTGCACCGAGCACACTTTTCAGCCATACTGTGGATGGGCGAAATCCTGCACCTGGGAAACATTGGAATTATGGATTCCCTGCAACTACCAAGCTAGAATGGTTTCCTATGGTTTCAAGGTGGTGCGAAATGGATCTCGTCCACATGGGTGCTTTTTCGGGGGCTGCCCCCGTTTTGCTGCGCTCACCAGCTGACTGGCCAGCGCCTGGTCGTAGTCCGCCTTCTCCAACTCGAAGTCCCCGAAGGCTTTGCCCATCTCCTAAGCCGGAGGAAACCCAATTCCAGACGGTGGCTCGCTGGCGAAATCTGCGAAGCCCTGCTTTAAAAAAGAAATGCTGGTGGTTTAATTTGGAAAACCCATTAAACCCATTAGTTGGCAAAAAGTTAAAGTCCTAACATCCAAACAAAATGCACCAGAGGTGAAATCGGGTTCCAACCAAAGGCGGGGGCTAGAACTAGCAGGGTTCCCTATATTTCCCCTCAAAACATTTCCCCTACCAAGGAACCACCGTAAATGGGCGAAAAAAAAATGGAGAAATGGAGGGACGACCGACCAAAGATCGCCCGGATTTTTGGACCCCCCGGTCCTGGTCGGCGTTTTCCCTCTCCGCCTGCTGACGCTCCCTTTCGAGCTCCTGAAGGCGGCCGTTGGGGGTGAAGCAAACTGAGCCATGTGCCTTGGGGAATGTGGTTGAATGAACCCAGCTTTGGTCTCCAGGAAACCACCAGTTGGATTGTGTTTTTTTGAGTCATTCCATTTCTCATGCCTATCGCACCAGCAAGACAAAGCAGCATTTGAGTCCGGGCGACGCTTTGAGGGGAACCTTTGTTTTCTGGGAGAGAGAAGTTGGAGGGGTTGAGGGTTGGGAGGGCGGCGAGGGGCTGGCTTTTTTTTTAGGTTTCAAACTTAGGGTTCCTTGAACAAAGGGCTCCGCCAATATGAGTCCTCTTTAAACATCCCCCAAAAGGAAACTCACTTCACTCTGGTAACCAAAGTAACGAAAGGGGAAACGTAGAGGACCCGGATGCATGAACCCGTTGAAATAATTCTGCGGATGGACAAATCCACTTCGACCCAGTTGGGATTTGTGGTTTGTCAACCAGCATTGATTCATAGGCCATATCCATCCCAACTGCAGGAATTTATTCATCCACAGGGGCGGGGAGGTGAAAAAGTGACTCGGATTCCTCAAAGCATGAATCAAACTCGCCTGGGTTTTCCTCAGATTGGCCACTCCAGTGGCATCCCAAATGACATACCCACCTTGCAATGGACCAAGAAGGGAGGAACCCATAGCCCCACAAATGTTCATCTGCCCGCGACCTTGGAAGTCCGAAAATTCCGTGTAATAAAAGAACCCCAAAATGGGGAGGGGGTCCATACGGTTTGGGCACAAAAGGCAGCCTTCTTTTAGGGTAGTGTTTTTGTTGGCATTCTTGGGGGCCGAAATAGACACTAGGTCACTAGGTGTCCATGGCATGTGCGCTTCCCCCAAAATCTATTTAAGCAAATAGTTTGGGGTTCTCCCACAATTCCCCTACATTTCCCCAAATTGTTCCTACATCTCCCTACTAGAAGACCCTCCCCAAATGAACCCATCCGAACCCTCCGCAGGTCGAAATGGATCTCCTTGGCCAGCTGATCCGTAGACTTCTCCTCCTCAAACCAAACCGAAACCCGCGCCATTTGGAGATGTATCACAATATGGCGATGGGTCAAATTCGAATCGTAATTCCAGTGAACATCCGATTCAATCCCCATAGTGCACCTACCCCAAAATGGGATCCATTGGTTTTGACAACCACAGCCATATGGCTGTGTGTGTGTGTGTCTTCTCCTTGCCGTTCCCCTTAAGCCAACCGGAGGGTACCCTCAAGCTAAGGCGTCCGAAAAGGACATGGCTTGGTTTCAGAAAACTCCTGGCCCTCTCAGTGGTTTGGATTGGTGGGAATTGGGATTTGAACCCATGGTTCTTGTAGAAGGTACCACGGTTTCACCCCAATCGCTGCCTCTCGCGGCTACGTCTGTTCGACGGCGCGAAAAGCTGCCCAACGCTTCGGCGTAAGAAAGGCACCGCCCCGAAACTTTGAGCAAAACCGAGGCTTTGTTTTTGCGGTTTCCAGATGTGAAGAAATACTTGGACACAGCTTCTTGGTTGACATTGGAAGGGGAGCAAAAACTTAAATGTTGGCAGTTAAGTGGAGATGTCCCACTAAACCACAATAAGAAAAAATGTAAAATGTTTCCCAACAACATCCATGGCTTCAATCTTTCTGAGATGAATAAGGCTGAAGGAAACAAACACCTAAGCACGTGTCTCTTGTTCGATTCGCGTGCGTCCCTTGAAATGGCCTCAAAAACGGAAAGGCAACTTCTAGCAAAGCCATCTCCATCTCCAAGAGGAAGGGGGAATGCTAGGATTTTTGGAACTGATAAAATTCCGACAGGCCCCTTTAACTCAGGCGGCGTCCAATTTAAAACCGCCCAAACAAAAAGAAAAGATTGAAGCTGTGACTTTCGTTGGAACCTGGTCTTCCATTTGCGTTCTCCCCCCTGAAGAAAATGAGACCATGCCACTGAAATTGATTCCCTTTAAACCCAAGGGAAAAAGTAATGACGCACAAAAAAATGGACCTTGTTGGACCCTTCTTGTGGATAATCACGAGGGAAAATAGCAATGACAACATTACTTTCAGCAAGTGGTCCCCGGAGCAAGACTGTACTTGGAATTGCAAGACTTGGAATTGCCTTGCCAAACTGAAGGTATCGCTAGCGATCACAGCCCTCAGTCTGAAGGCTTTAGCAAGTGGACCCTGGCTTTACCTCTCGATCTCCCACCTTGGCAAAGAGGTTCAGGGGCGAAGCCTCCGAGCGGCTCGCCGCTGGACCGTTGGCCCGCAACAGGGCAATTGTTTTCATAACGCCCAGCCCAGGGTCCATTTCCCTTCTAAAAACGGGTGTGTGTTTTTCCCATTGCACCGTGCAACCCCCCCTCCCCAGAAAGAAAAAGAGAAGAAATGTGTGTGTGTGTGAGGGTGGGTGGGTGGGTGTGTGTGTGTGTGGGTGCGTGTGGGTGTGTGTGGGTGCGTGTGGGTGTGTGTGGGTGGGTGTGTGTGTGTGTGTGTGGGTGGGTGCGGGTGCGGGTGCGGGTGCGGGTGCGGGTGCGGGTGCGGGTGCGGGTGCGGGTGCGGGTGCGGGTGCGGGTGCGGGTGCGGGTGCGTGTGCGTGTGCGTGTGCGTGTGCGTGTGCGTGTGCGTGTGCGTGTGCGTGTGCGTGTGCGCGTGCGCGTGCGCGTGCGCGTGCGCGTGCGCGTGCGCGTGCGCGTGCGCGTGCGCGTGCGCGTGTGCGTGTGCGTGTGCGTGTGCGTGTGCGTGTGCGTGCGTGTGCGTGTGCGTGTGTCGTGTGTGTGCGTGTGCGTGTGCGTGTGCGTGCGTGTGCGTGCGTGCGTGCGAGTGCGTGCGTGTGCGTGCGTGTGCGTGCGCGTGCGTGCGCGTGCGTGCGCGTGCGTGCGTGTGCGTGCGTGTGCGTGCGTGTGCGTGTGCGTGCGTGTGCGTGCGTGTGCGTGCCTGCACGTGGGTGCGCGTGGGTGCGCGCGGGTGCGCGCGGGTGCAGGCGCGGGTGCAAGGCGCGGGGTGCAGGCGCGGGTGCGGGCGCGGTGCGGGGCGCGGGTGCGGTGTTCGGGTGCGGGTGCGGTGCGGGTGCCCGGGCACGTGCGGGTGCGCGAGCGGAGCGCGGGCGCGGGCGGGCGCACCGGGCGCGCGCGGAAGCCGCGCGGGAGCCGCGCGACGCTGTCGGGCGCTGCGGTGGCGCAGCGCGCCGCGTGGTGTGCTGCGGGTGCGTGCGTGCGGTGCTGCGTGCGTGCCCGTGCGCGTATGCGTGCATGCTCGTGCGTGCGTGCCGTGCTTGCGTGCTGCGCGTGCCGCGTGCGTGCGTGCGAGCGAGCGCGCGGCAACGCGCGCGTCGCGCGATGCGGCGTGCGTGCGTGCGTGCGTGCCCTGCTGGCGGCGGAGCGGGCGGGCGGGGACGGGCGGGCGGGCTGGCGGCCGCCAGGTGCTAGCGCGCGCAGCGCGCGCGTAAAACAAACGCGGGCGTGCTGGCCGGCGCGTGCGCGCGGCGCGCGCGCTGCAAATGCGTCAGTGCGTAGCGTGCGGCGGGCGGGCCGCCGCAAGCTGCGCGCGCGTTCCCCCCCCCCCGTGCGGGCGTGCGTGCGTGCGTGCGCGCGCGCGTATGTGTGCGTGTGTGTGTGTGTGTCTGTTGTGTGTGTGTGTGTGTTGTGTGTGTTGTGTGTGTGTGTTGTGTGTGTGTTGTGTGTGTGTTGTGTGTGTGTTGTGTGTGTGTTGTGTGTGTGTTGTGTGTGTGTTGTGTGTGTGTGTTGTGTGTGTGTTGTGTGTGGTATGTGTGTATTGTGTGTGTTGTGTGTGTTGTGTGCGTGGTCTGTGTGTGTGTGTGTTGTGTGTGTGTTGTGTGTGTGTGTTGTGTGTGTGTTGTGTGTGTGTGTCTGCGTGTCTGCGTGTCTGCGTGTCTGCGTGTCTGCGTGTCTGCGTGTCTGCGTGTCGCTGCGTGTCGCTGCGTGTCTCTGCGTGTGTCTGCGTGTCTCTGCGTGTCTCTGCGTGTCTCTGCGTGTCTCTGCGTGTCTCTGCGTGTCTCTGCGTGTCTCTGCGTGTCTCTACGTGTCTCTGCGTGTCTCTGCGTGTCTCTGCGTGTCTCTGGGTGTCTCTGCGTGTCTCTGTGTGCGTGTCTCTGCGTGTCTCTGTGCGCGTGTCTCTGCGTGTCTCTGTGT